GTTTTTAGTTAAAATGCATTTTCAGGTTTACGTTTTTTGCGTGCATTACGATTAATGACCGTACCAGATATTTTACAATACTTGAATGTGCTGAAGACATCATCATCAATACGTCTCACTCAACTTCTTTCAATTTTTATATCTGTCTGCTTAACAGGAGCTGGATTTGTTCATGTAGTGAGCAAATTATTAAATTAGGAATACATTTAAAAACATAATTTTTGATTCATTCTTTTGCACTATTAATATTTTTAATTTTTGCTCTGTTTGTTAGTTATCAGAAGTAAAATATAATTTAAGTATTAAATTATTCCTTTCATATATTTCAGCTTGAAAATAGTGGTGATCCGTTCAAAAATTTCGCCAATACACATCGAATAACTTATTGGGATTGTGTTTATTTCCTACTAGTCACAATGTCCACTGGTTTGTATTTTTTTTTCATTTTGTTAAATTTTTAAACTGTTAATTTCAAAATCTTTGTAAATAGGTAGGACAGAAATAAAGCTAATTTTAAAAAACAACATTGTATTTAACACAAATAAATCAATTACTAAATTGTTCAACAGAATGGAAATTGCCAAATATACCTAATTTCCTTCATTTTGTTTTAAATGGATGTGAAAATAAATCTAAATTTAATGCTTACTTTGCTAACAAAAGATTCAAAAACTGAATCATTTAATTAAAATTATTCAAGACTATCCCATTATTTCATTTAAAACAAATTTCATGATAACATCACATTCTTACAATAAACGGATCGTACAATGCTTCAGAATAAAGAAAAAAAACAAACTTAGAACACTAACCTTCAAAAGTATTCTACTAACCAATTAAATATGATTGTGGACTTTTAGAAGTTGATTTATTTGAAACAAAATTGTTCGATCAAAATGAAAATATGAATCAGTGTATGAATAATTGTTTCAGTTGGTTACGGTGATATCTACTGTACAACATTTTTGGGAAGATTATTCATGGTGTTCTTCATTCTTGGTGGATTGGTACATTTTATATTTAATTTTTTCGCAAACAAAATCAGAATAATTCAAAATTACAAGCATTTTAATACTTTTAAAATGTTTAATTTTTCTTTTTATATTGCAGGCAATGTTTGCTAGTTATATACCAGAAATAGCGGATTTGATTGGATCAAGGCAAAAATACGGAGGTGAATATAAAGGCGAGCATGGCAAAAAGTCAGATACAATGCTTGTTAACATGCTTGTTTGCTATTTCAAAATTATGAACGAAATTTGGATATTTAAAATAAGTGTTTGTGCAGACGTACAACAAATAAATGCTAGAATGTTTGTTAAAAAAAAGAAAAAAATAAAATAAGATAATATTTGAAAAGTAACAGAATGTTAAAAAATAAAAGAAAAAAAAAATACGCATAATCCACTTTTCTAAATGGGATTTGAAATTATAATGATTTAAAACCGGCAATAAACTGATGTCCATTTTTGTTAATTTTTAATTACATAAAAATTTTAGATCAATTCACAGAAAATGCTTAATTAAGGAAGAAAAAATTAACATATTTTTTGCAGGCATATTGTAGTCTGTGGTTATATAACTTATGAATCAGTTAGTCATTTTTTGCAAGATTTTCTTCACGAAGATCGAGAAGATGTTGACGTTGAAGTGGTATTCTTGCACAGGTTTTCAACTTTTGTAAAACATCTTTTATCTTTAGTCATTTTTATGGTATTCCTTTCAAGTTAAGAGGAACTTTCCTTCGCAATTAATTTAAATTATTAAATGCGAATATTCTTGCAGAGTTCCACCAGATCTTGAATTAGAAGGTCTTTTCAAGCGACATTTTACAAAGGTTGAATTTTTCAGTGGAACAGTTATGGATTCAATTGATCTTTCTCGTGTAAAAGTGAGCTTATTTCAGATTAACTTTAACATATGAAAATATTTCATAAATTATGAAAATCATCGAGGAGGAAATAGTTAAATCAACAATTATTATTTAGGTTGATGAAGCAGATGCATGCTTAGTTCTTGCTAATAAATATAGCAGTGATCCAGATGCAGAAGATGCTGCAAATATTATGCGTGTTATTTCCATTAAAAATTATAGCGCCGATATACGTGTTATTGTACAGTTAATGCAATATCATAATAAGGTTTTTTCATTACTACTTCTTTTCCTATTTTTGTCCTGTTTAATTCAATCAAAATTTTAATTTACTATTCATTAGGATCGATCAATTGTAATAATGATTTACTATGGGGTACGAGAATATTTAAGTTACCGTAATTACATCTCATAAATACAAGCAATCGAACTGTTCCATCCATTTAAACCATCCAGTGGTTAAAATCTTAAGCTAATTTTAGGCTTATTTATTGAACATTCCTTCATGGGATTGGCGTCGTGGTGATGATGTTATTTGTTTGGCCGAACTCAAGCTTGGATTTATTGCTCAGTCATGTCTTGCACCTGGCTTTTCAACAATGATGGCTAATTTATTTGCGATGCGTTCCTTCAAAACGGTTCACTTTATTGATAATTCAAAGTTAAAAAAAAAAAAGGAAAAAAAAGAGAAAAAACAAAGCCAAGAAATTTGTCCGACGTTTATCTTTTAATGATACAGCATCAATACGTAATCAATTTGAACAACGAATCCATTATCAGACGTAAAATCGTTCCGTTCGATTTAGAGGCTTTCGATCTTCTAGTCGTCGTTATTCTCTTCACAACAGTATTATTTTGTCTTGCTTGAAGTTTTCCTGAAATATTTGCTCAGATTTTAACACTTGAAACATTACGCGCAATAATTTAAAAACCACTTACTGTCTTTTTATTGTTGTCCCAACTAATTATTATTAAATTTCAAAATATAATGTTTGAAAATTTTTGATTTAAATTTCACCTCCCACATATTTGAAGTTACAAATCCTGAACTTCTTGTTGTTTTTAACGCTTATTTCTCCTTGCATGTGTTTGATGATTGCTTTTCCTAACTTTCATTTGAACCAAATTTTCGTTTTGTTTTGAGCAATATGGATGCTATCGTTATCCGAAAAATTTCAATCCATCTATCCACTTATGCTGCTTTAATAATATTGCAATTTTTCCAGCAAAAGTTATCATGAATTCAGAGTAATTTCAGTCACCACATACTCCACCATGGTTGAATGATTACTTACGTGGTGCTGGTATGGAGATGTATACCGAGTCATTGTCCCATTCATGTGTTGGCATGACTTTCACGGAGGCTGCTGAGTTTGTTTTTCTTTTAACTTTCCGTTGTCTAACTCTTATTCTGTTATGAAAAGTTAAACTGATTTGTTAGTAAGATTTTCTAGGTGAAAAATTAGATATATGTTGGGTGATGTATAAAGAGTAAAAGATGATAATAGACGTGATAATATGCTTAACAACATTTTGGCGTGTAAAAAGTTCCTCCATGTACGTACAACAATTTATTCGTGTCCATATATGTTCTGCGCAGTATTTGTTTATCATTCCTCATTTGTTTTTTATTCGTCTTAAAACGTTGAAATGTAAAACTGCAATTTCAAAATCAGTTTTGAAATTGAAATTTCAAATTTTTATTTCACAAAACATTCGTTTTCTTTTGCTAAGGCAAATTATTAGATTCAAATTCAATTATCAAAATCTAAATTTCTACCAAAAAAAAAATCCAAATTTTAAATTTTACCTTCACGCTGTCAACGACAACTCTCAAAAGGATTTTTCTTTTACAGTGACGAGGAAAATTTCACTTAATGAGTGAGAATCCATTGATTGATAAATTTCAGTCCCGCAATACTCCGGACTGGTTAAATTTATACCTATGTGGTGCAGGCATGGAAATGTACACAGATACATTATCACATGGTTTCGTAGGGATGACATTTCCGGAAGCAGCTGAGTAAGCACAGAGAATGCGTTTAAGCTAATATTTTTGCCGGCTTGATCATACTTTTACTCCTAAAACTAACATCATAGAGTGATTATTCTATTAACAATGATACTCTTACAACAAAGAAATGATTCTTACACTTATTTAAGCGGAAGAAATAATTTTCACCTCTACTAATATCTAATAGAATTTATCTGATAAAGTATAAAATTAAGGAGATAAATGAAATTAGGACTAATAGAAAGAAATTCATTAAATATTGTTGAGATTACATTGCTCAGCTTTTCAATAAATTACGGAATCTTTGATATCCTCATTTGAAAACAAAAATTCTATGATACTAATTACAAAAATACAAGCAGATTTTGCCTCATATTTTTTTGCCTTGTTTAAACAAAAATATTATTTATTGTTTAGATAATTGCAAATGTATCATTAAATTTTCGATAACTATGAATTTTTCATGGAGGATGATATTTTTTCAAAAAATAATGAATAAAAACCAAAAAGTATACGTTCATCATTTTGGAATCAGGCAAAAAGGTTGTCTAAATCAGAGGATTAAATAATTTTTCTTTTTCTTTTTTTTTTTTACCTTATTGTTTTATTGTAGAATTTTTGGTACATACATTGATAAAAATATTATCTTTTAACGAAATTTTAA